CACGTGTCCTAGACAGCGGTCACGTGTTCCGGAAGTCGGGCCCACAGACCGGAAGTGACGCGGGGAGCTGAGAGACAGAGCAGACAGTGAGCGGATCGGAGAGAGAGGCGGCCGGAGGTCAGAGGTCACGGCGGCACCGAGGGGTCAGAGGTCAGCAGGGGGCGGGGGAGGTCCCGGGGGGGGCAGCGCCTCAAATGTATCAAACCTGTGAGAGCCCCTCCCCTCAGCACTGACCGCCATGGGCATCACCCTCAGCCATCCACCGAGTACCTACCGTCACACCCTGTATATACACAGAGTACCTACCGTAACACCCTGTATATACACCGAGTACCTACCGTGACACCCTGTATATACACCGAGTACCTACCGTAACACCCTGTATATACACCGAGTACCTACCGTAACACCCTGTATATACACCGCGTACCTACCGTAACACCCTGTATATACACCGAGTACCTACCGTAACACCCTGTATATACACCGAGTACCTACCGTAACACCCTGTATATACACCGAGTACCTACCGTAACACCCTGTATATACACCGAGTACCTACCGTAACACCCTGTATATACACCGAGTACCTACCGTAACACCCTGTATATACACCGAGTACCTACCGTAACCCCCTGTATATACACCGAGTACCTACCGTAACCCCCTGTATATACACCGAGTACCTACCGTAACCCCCTGTATATACACCGAGTACCTACCGTAACACCCTGTATATACACCGTGTGTACCTACCGTAACACCCTGTATATACACCGTGTGTACCTACCGTAACACCCTGTATATACGAGTTTCTGGCAACACCCTGTATATACACGAGTACCTACCGTAACACCCTGTATATACACGAGTACCACCTACTACGTAACACCCTGTATATACACCGGTACCTACGTAACACCCTGTATATACACGAGTACTACCTACCGTAACACCCTGTATATACACAGTACCTACCGTAACACCCTGTATATACACCGAGTACCTACCGTAACACCCTGTATATACACCGAGTACCTACCGTAACACCCTGTATATACACCGAGTACCTACCGTAACCCCCTGTATATACACTGTGTGTACCTACCGTAACACCCTGTATATACACCGAGTACCTACCGTAACACCCTGTATATACACCGAGTACCTACCGTAACCCCCTGTATATACACCGAGTACCTACCGTAACACCCTGTATATACACCGAGTACCTACCGTAACACCCTGTATATACACCGAGTACCTACCGTAACACCCTGTATATACACCGAGTACCTACCGTAACACCCTGTATATACACCGAGTACCTACCGTAACCCCCTGTATATACACCGAGTACCTACCGTAACCCCCTGTATATACACCGAGTACCTACCGTAACCCCCTGTATATACACCGAGTACCTACCCTGTATATACACCGAGTACCTACCGTAACACCCTGTATATACCCTGTATATACACTGTGTACACCTACCGTAACACCCTGTATATACACTGTGTACACCTACCGTAACACCCTGTATATACTCTGTGTACACCTACCGTAACACCCTGTATATACTCTGTGTGTACTTACCGTAACACCCTGTATATACACTGTGTGTACTTACCGTAACACCCTGTATATACACTGTATATACACTGTGTGTACCTACCGTAACACCCTGTATATACACCCTGTATATACACTGTGTGTACCTACCGTAACATCCTGTATATACACCGTGTGTACCTACCGTAACACCCTGTATATACACTGTGTACACCTACCGTAACACCCTGTATATACACCGTAACACCCTGTATATACACCGTGTGTACCTACCGTAACACCCTGTATATACACCGTGTGTACCTACCGTAACACCCTGTATATACACCGTGTGCACCTACCGTAACACCCTGTATATACACTGTGTGCACCTACCGTAATACTCTGTATAGACAAAGCGTACCTTCTGTAATACCCTTAGCCATACACCGAGTACTTACCGTAATACCCTGTATATACACCAAGTACCTACCTTAATAACCGGTATATGCTGTGTACCTACCGTAATACCCTGTATATATGCTGTGTACCTACCGTAATACCCTGTATATATGCTGTGTACCTACCGTAATACCCTGTATATACACTGTGTACCTACCGTAATACCCTGTAGATACACTGTGTACCTGCCGTAAAAAACGGTATATACACTGTACCTAACGTAAGAACTGGTAATTGAGGATGTATCAAATGGAGGGCAAGCCAGTCATCCACTCTCGTGATAGGTCTTCTATGTCTTTCGCTAAAGAGTCAAATAATTGTTAGAAGAACCTTTCCATCTGGTTGTGCCGAGATTTTGCCATGAGGTCTAATTGAGGAAGCAGGGAGGAGAGGGAGCACTCTGTTGTATCTAATGCAACTCTGCTGTGGAAATCTGCCTGGGAGATTATTTTTGCCTGGGAGATACACAGACATTAGACTCTTTAGGTTCCTTTCTGCCCAAGTCATTATAGGAGAAAGAATCTTTATCAGACACTTACTCTTTCGTTCGCCCTTTTTGATTTAGTTAGGCAACCACCAATGATCAGGTTTTTACTCATTTTGTATTGATTATTTTCATGATCCACTCAGAACTATTTTATGGCAGTGTTTTAGTGCCACTACTGATTATCGGTTGCCTTATAACTGGTATTAATATTCTCTACATTTAAAGTTTTAAGTACCACAATTTCTACACAAATCTGCCATTACCTGAACATGTTTATTAACAAAAAATTTAGACATCTTTCTTTTATTGAGTGGTAATGTAAATAAACACATTTTTAAAAAGTATATATTTATTCATCACGTTGATAGGAAAATAAACAATTGAACCACCTTTTTTTTTATTTTTTTTTATGAAAAATAAATATTGGGCAACAGGTAACAATGCACAAATTGCACATGGATTAAGACTTGGTAGAATGAGGAATGTTATATTCATTTAATATCCATGCATATTTCATTGGTTTTTAATCTATGTGCAATTTGTGCATTGTTACTTATGCCTGATATTAAACACGTGGTATGGTAATAATACTTAAATGTTAATTGTGTAGTAACGTGGCTCTGCCTCAAATGTGATTGCTGGAGGTAAGATGAACTATTTAGAAACGGAAAGAGCTCGAAAAATCTTCTGACAAATGATCTGCTGTTTTTGCAAGCTGGTTTAGATATATCCCGAATGAAACAAATGCTTAATTAATTAAATGCATTGATGTTTTCATTTGGTGTATATCTATTAAACAGTGATCTTTGTTTTTTAATTTAGGCAGTCGAGTGTCCCTGCTCATATCTCAATGTCACTCAGATGGGAAGGGTAAGCTTCCCTTATCTCCCCAGCATACTGAACCTGTTACGAATACTGTCGTTACGTGGTAATAATTAATTATATATCATTGGGGTGAGTGATTTTCTTGCATTTAATATTGAGCAGTAATTATTTAACACAAATGTTTGTGTTATTTTAATCTGTAACATGCCACCTAATCCTTGAGGTATTCAATTGTTTGTGTAATAAGCAATTATAATTAAAATCACAAATAAACCTCTAAATGTTTAATTAAATCACTCTCAAATTCATTATTTGCTCCCTTAATTCACCCCTGGCAGCATAAACTCCCTGTTCTCCTGATTTTTCTGGTGTTTTACAGGGAATTCAATGATAATGTTGTGAATGTGCTGTTTCAATGTATGAAAGAGTAGATAGTTTTTTTTTTTTTTTTTGGTATGTTGTAGCCTGGGGGTTTTACCTTATAGTAGTCCTTTTATATGCACACTACAGATAGTTGTGTGCTGTATAGAATGTCTTCATAAAAACCTGTTGGACCTTCATAGGTCTCTGCAAGGGAGACGTATCCTACTTTTAATATGCTAATCTACTTACTGCTGATTATAGGTCTTTAAATCTCTCACTAGGAAGGACATCTCTTTTAAGTTTGAATTCCATAGCTTTATTCAGAAATAATTCTCTCACCACACTATAGTTTCTACCGGATGTACAATTATTTATAAATGCATTTTAAATACATAAAGGTACGAAACTGTTAGAATAATGTACAATAAACTATGAAATATGCAGAACTCTCTAACTTTGCAGCAGTATGCGATGTGCAATACATGTAGAGTTAACCAGTATGTATCTATACAGATACATTTTTATCTGTATATATTTTATGATTGTGGATTTTAATAATATTTATAATTGAATTAGATGAAAAGAATCTGGTTTTCCTCAGGATTCTGTTGTCCAGTGTCAGTGTGAAGTCTTAGGGTAGTAGTACTGCTGTAATATTGTTTGTGTGGTCTATCCTGATTTTGATGACTTCCTGTTAATCTAAATACACACTTTTTAGCTTTGGGAATCACCATGGAAACGGAGAGTGAGCAGAACTCAAGCTCCACGAATGGTAGCTCTGCGTCAGGGGGCAGCACACGTCCTCAGATTTCTCAGATGTCCCTATATGAACGTCAAGCCGTGCAGGTATGTTACTGTTTCAAGCTCTCTGTATTTTTGCCATGCTGTTTCCATTGATGAAGTAGTATGTCCTGTGGCTTTATGGATGTGGGCTTGTCCATCACATGTATGGACTGGACTGCAAGCTTTAGGTTGGGATATATTGTTCCTTCTATCATTTAACACTTCCCAAATGAACAGCAAATATGAGATGGCTTGCGCTAGTAGTGAAGGGGTATCATGCAAGATTCCCATTCCAGCTACCTGGGTTTGAGTCCCGGCTAGCGCATTGTAGTTAATTGTGCTTTGCGTGGCAATGCCAGTTTTTATTCTTAAACTGCACATGTGACTTACCTATAACTTAGAAACAGTGATTATATTGTGCTTTAATTGATTACATTTATGACGAGTTTTATAACATGTATAGCTTGGAGGAAAGACGAGACAGGGAGGATATGAGAGAAACATTTAAAGGGAAACTATAGTCACACCTCCCTGCATGTTGCTTACACAGCCTTTCTAAACACTTCCTGTAAAGAGTCATCTAATGTTTACATTTCCTTTATTGCAAATTCTGTTTAATTTAGAATTACTTATCTCCTGCTGTGTGGATAGCTTGTCAGACCCTGCAGCAGCCTCCTGTGTGTGATTTAAAGTTCAATTTACAGACCAGAAGTTAAAAAAAAAAACATTTAAAATAAGTTACATCTGATTGAAAATGCAACCATTTTGTTTTATTGCAGGCTGTGTTAGTCACAGCCAGGGGAGGTGTGGTTATGGCTGCATAACAGACACAAAAGTGGTATAACTCCTAAATGGAAGAGCATTGAGCAGTAAAACATCAGGGTCATGATCTATACACTAAAACTGCTTCATTAAGCTAAAGTTGTTTTGGTGCCTATAGTGCCCCTTTAAATACATCAAGGGAATCAACACAGTCAAGGAGGAGACTATATTTAAAAGAAGAAAAACTATCACAACAAGAGGACATAATCTTAAATTAGAGGGGCAAAGGTTTAAAAATAATATCAGGAAGTATTACTTTACTGAGAGGGTAGTGGATGCATGGAATAGCCTTCCAGCTGAAGTGGTAGAGGTTAACACAGTGAAGGAGTTTAAACATGCGTGGGATAGGCACAAGGCTATCCTAACTTTAAGATAAGGCCATGGACTAATTAAAGTATTTAGAAATATTGGGCAGACTAGATGGGCCGAATGGTTCTTATCTTCCGTCATAGTCTATGTTTCTATGGAATTCTGAATTTAAAATGTAACATTATGGGTTGAATTGCACACAAAACTGAATTCTATAGCTTATAATATAATGTGTCAATAACACTTTCTAATAAGCACCTGTACTTAAAGTAACACTGTATAGTAATACCAGGCTTCAAAGAATCCTTCTTGTGTACATTGCTGTAGAGTGGAAAGATGGATAGGTCTGCCATATACAATCCCTATGCAGAGATAGAGAGCACAAACTGAAGCCCTGGCAGATACAATAATTTTTTGTTTTGGTTTAAACAATCTGGAAGCATAGGTAAATGAGGCTTTATTGACTACATTTTTATCCTTTGCACCATAGCTCTTCAGCCAGTGTATAAGAACTAATGTAGTTCAATAGCGTCTTGTGTAGTGTGTGTTCTCAGAGGTATCTTTCGCTTTTTAGGCTTTGCAGGCTCTGCATCGACAGCCGAACGCAGCACAGTATTTTCACCAGCTGATGCTACAGCAACAGCTCAGTAATGCACAACTGCACAGTCTGGCAGCCGTTCAGCAGGTAAGTAAAAATACTGTAACTCAATGTCAGCCTGAGCTCCGTGTTGTCTGTTGTTCTTCCCTTATGTGGATGTCAGTGAGTGCTGTGCTGTCAATGATTCCTAGCGTAATGTTTAGGTAATATGGTAGAAACTCAGGGTGAGTGGTAATGAGTGCTGTGCTGTCAATGATTCCTAGCGTAATGTTTAGGTAATATGGTAGAAACTCAGGGTGAGTGGTAATGAGTGCTGAGCTGTTAGATTATCCTTGAATGTGTGGTTAACCTGTGCAGTGGATGTTAATGAGCGTGGTGCTTGTTATTCTTCCACAAAAGTATGGTTGTCCTTTATAGTGGGATGCAATGAGCACTGCACTGTCTTTACTTCTTTCAAGGACACATGAATTTAAATATAATATAAAATAATTTTATTATAATTTAGCTTGCTCGTCTGTTGATTCCCTTTGAATTTTTATTTTACATTTACTTTTTGAACTAATTGTAAAAATGTTCACATCACCACTGCAATGCTTTAATCCAACGTACAGCACAGGAGAATATGTTGGCCTTTTTAAATAAGAATACAAATATATGCCATGATATTGGTGTGTTGAAAAATGTACTTTATTTTTGGTGGCATCAAAGGTGAAGAATGTTTATGTTGCTCTCTAATGGTTGATTCAAAACATATACATGAGGGAATAGGGACTTTTTTGATCATGCATTTGGTAGATGCCCAACCCTCTTTTCACAATAGATACTTATTGCACCAAGGTGTGAAAGCACAAGACTATCAGTGGAAGATCCCTTGGGCTATTCCATCCTCCCTTTTTGTACTCATGTACTTGCTTGAGAGTGCTATAGTGAGCAAGGCTCATGAAACATGAAGTCACCAGAAGTTGAAGAAGTTTGGCTGCATTGATGAAGAAATTACAAGGAGATATGTCACTTTAAGGCCCTACACGTGACAGTGCTGCTTTCCTGCACATCTAAATAATGCAGGGATATTCGAATATCCTTTCCCTTTTAATATTCAGAATGGAGAAAAGAGGACTATTAACATGAAAATGAATTTCTCCAGTGATTGCCATAGCATTCTAATCTGTGTTTTAGGGTAGCTATTACTTAATCTCTATGAAGAGCCTATGCAGCGTAATCTGTCTGATGTCACCACAGGGTTTTTTTTTTTTGTGTGTGCCAGTCTAATCTTTGTGTCAATGCATCTGTAGCTGTGTTCAGGCTCTTTGATGGGGAATATTTTCACAACGGAAATTTAAGACAATGTTTGTCTGTTTGATGAGTAATAACTGCATTACCTGCTCTCTGTTAGGCTACCATTGCCGCTAGTCGCCAGGCTGCCTCACCCAATGCAGGATCCACTCAGCAGACCAACACAACCCAGGGATCGGTAAGTGGCAGTATGGCACACTACTTTATGGGTAATCACATGTGTCACAGTGAATACAGCTGGGGCATAACTGCAACACTGCACCAGGTTAAATGATTTGTAATGCTCTTCTGTCATGAATGCATGTAGAATCTTTCAGGGTAACAGAGTACCCTTTTTGTACTTTGCTACCTCAGTCTATCTTTTCCTAAATGCTTCTGCATGCTATTACTTTGTATTCGAGCTATGTCTTTCCAGTGAGAATTTAAGGTTATATGTAAGCCTCTCATAGTTTGGGAGAGCACGTGTTTTGTTCTTTTAACAAGATGGTTATATTTTGATTTCTCTTTTGAACTGTTTTTTTATGCTATTGTGAGGTAAGAGCAGCTCTTGTGAATGGTATAAAGTGATTGCACTTATTGATGTCCTCCACAGCAGGTGAACCTTTCCACGAGTTCTTCGGCCCAGCTCCTTAGCCGTACTCAGAATGTCACAGCACCCAGTGCAACAACCCTCACCCAATCTGTTCTTCTCAGCAATGCCAGCTCGCCTCCGCTTAGCCAGTCACAGACACAAATGTACCTGCGGGTGAGTGACAAACTCATTCTTTTCCATTGTAAGAGATCACCTGTTTCCAATAAGTTAGAGAAATAATAACTCGTTTCAGTTTGCAGTCGTTACTGATTGCAAACTAAAATGTCATCTATAACCCTACAACTCCCCAGGTGTTTAGGTGATCTAGGATTATAACTGTCTCTTCAGTATGTGATCATTACCAATCGCATACGGAAATGGTGGTTAAAGATGTTGTGAGTCTGTTGAGGTTTTTTCTGTGAGAATCATGTACTTTGCACTGATTGGTCATTGGTAAACATCCTGAAATTGAAATCTTTGGCTTGCTCAGGAAACACAACTGATCCAAAGACCAAAGTTAATAAAAAGCAAGTTTTTTCTTAAAATGTGTTATTTAAAAAAAATGTCTGTTAAAAGCTTTATTGCCACAGTGTTTCTGATGTTACCAAAGTATAACCGAAATGTAACTATCAAGTACTTAAGACATAACCCGCTCCAACTCCTTACCATTCAGAGTATTTAAAAGGTTACTCGAAGCACCTTAACCTCTTCAGTGATTTGAAGTGGTCATGGTGCTTGGAGTCTGTGCAGAGTAATGACACACAAACAGAGTTAAAGAACTTTGCTGCCAGTGTAACTCCACCTCCGCCAGCGTCATTAGCTTGCCTTGAAAAAGACTTCCAGGCTGTCTAATATTAATTCTGTGCATAATGGATGTGTCGTCAGTACGCATACCATGCTGGTGACAGACAACCCATGGTTGGCACAGCCCCCCACCGTGCCTCCCAAGTCCTCCCTGTCACGGCTTACCTTGGATGGAGTCCGAAGTGCAGAGATGTATGCTCACCCTTGCAGATAAACACAGCCCACGGTAACCAGGTAAGAAGTTACCTGGGCTGTGAATCTTTGCACAGCAGCTTAGGCAGGAACAGTAACAGGATACGACGGAACAGACAAGGGCAAATCCAGAAGAGAAGTCAGGCATGGTATCAAAAAGGTCAGGGCAGGCGGCAAGCAAGCAATAACATAGATTTCACAAGCAGGGGTCACAAGCCAAGTCAGTCTTAGGCAACATGAAACAACGATCTGACTCTGCCCTCAGGGAGAGGCATTGTTATATACCTGGGTTAATGATCCATCTGCCTCAGGTGGACTTAGATTGACAGGTAGGAGCCACTGGTGAAGTCCAGCCCCTAGTGCTGCAGGCAATGCCAGATAAACAAGGCTAGATCCCTAAGTTCCAAAGTGGCTCAGAAGCAGGAATGCAGGACTAGGATGCAAAAGGGCCTGGATCAAATCCCCTGTTTTTCACCTCTGGGGTGACCACACCTGGCTGTCTGGATAGCACGGGGAGAACCGTGACACTCTGTCTGCCTGTGCATCAGGGTGTCACGCCCCCTCACCAGAGGTGGACTGGGCTGCAAGGAGAAGTAAGTTCATTCTTTCCTCCTTTCTGTATCTCCAGTATTGGACCATGCCAGTAAGGCTTACTACAACCAAAAATAAAAATATTGTTTTTGGTTGGAGTAATAGAAGCGAACATAAAACTCTTAACGGCTAATTCTTAATTGTTGAACAAATCTTTGCTTTAGTGAAAGTTAGTGAAATGATTAGAAAACATTGACTCTTTGAAATTGATTATATTCATTAAAATACCATCAATGTAAAATTGCGATTTTTATTGTTACTTATCAAATTGACACCCTGTCCCTGTGTGGAACAGTTCTGGTTAAAGAACATGCACTGTTACCCAGAATGGATCTTTATACGTCAGGACTGTTTTTTCTGCCATTTGTAACCATCAAATATTAGGTAGTTTTGCACATCCATCGATTGTAGCAATTCTTTGATATTATCTCTTTTTTCCAAGCAGCAGCCTCAGCTAGGCAATCTCTTCCCTGTAAATCGTTCTCTTGGCCGTGGCGTTCCTCTAAACTCCCAGCTAATTCTGATGCCCAATGGCTCCGTAGCCACTGTTCAGCAAGAGATGACATCTCCCCAGACCCAAAACATGCATCAGGATTCTGATCAGGCAAGTTGTGTCTCCACTATATTTTACAATGAAAGGCTGGCCCCAAGTTTCTATAGCTTTCAGTACGTTCTTGACTTTCCTTTCGCTTGGTTTTGTATGCACAGATGCTTCACGGCCAGACAATATTACTGCTTATGGTAGTGGTTATGATTCAAGGAAACTACAGTTGACAGTCCCTTTGTTTTTTGTAATGTTGTTTTCAGTTTGTTTAAAAAAAAAAAATAAATTCCCCTGCATCCTAAACCTACTCCTCTGACTCTATTTCCATAATTATAAAATTACACAGACAAAATGTATGTACAATATGTGCAAGCATTGTGAGCCCCCACAGTACAGTGAGAGGCTGTGAGCACTAGGAATATAGGACAGTTTGACTGTGTCTCATCGCCACAGTCCGGTGAGGCTGAATCACTTTTAACCCTTTTAGGAGCATTGAATTGACACGTGGCTGAATCCACCTATTCTTAAGCAATCTCCTCTATAGATGGTGTTAGTATTGTGACATTTTGTCTCATCTTGTCTGATATTGGGCACTGCAATAATTTCTTTCTTATTGTTCATGTCTGGAAGATGGTCATGGTACTGTTAATCTTCATTGACAAATAGTTTCAATCTCTTCCTCTGTAGGTTCAGAACCTGGCCGTGCGAGGTCAGCAGACAGCTCCACCCACTTCTACAGCTGCAGGACCCCTCATGTCCCAACAGGCACCACTGCCTACCAAAGCTGCAGTCCACCCAGCCCCCTCCTCCTCAGCTCCTCCCCAGCTGCCTTCCCCGCCAGTACCACAGACCGTGAAGAGCCCCATGGGACCCTCTGGAGGAACAGTGAGTCAGGGGAGCCAGACTGAGACGGAGGGGAGAAAGACAGAAGGAGAGAGTGTCCAGCAAAGCGTTGGCATTAACCTAACCAGAGCTGCAACACCAGCTCCTAATCAGACCTTAATTAGCTCTGGTGAGTCTGCAATCTCAACATTGTACAACTGACCTTGAATTCTAGGTTCTTACGGGGACCATACTTAGCAGGCTTTTTCCATGATGTTTACCAGTCGCATTCAATGTACAATTCTTTCACTTGGTACACTGAAAATTGACTTATTGGCTATTGTTACACAGAAAAAAGATGTCCGTTTTTTTAGGTCCCTTTTTCATCTCATTAATGTTAGTGTCATTTGTCCTGAATCACTTTCACTAAAAATAATTAAAGGGACACTATAGGCATCAAAACTTTGCTTATACACCAAAGCTTATTGGTGTATAGACCATTCCCCTCCAGTGTTACTGCTCAATTCTCTGCCATTTAGGAGTTAAATCACATTTGTTTCTGTTTATGTAGTCCAGGCCATACTTATTCTGGCTGTGACTCACACAGCCTGCATGAAAAATGTTTTGATTTTCAGTCACATGTTAATTTGCTTTAGAAGTTTTTTATGCCTTTCTCTGTAATTAAATGTTAAAGGAACACCAATGTATTCCTGACCCTATACTGTTAAAGCCACCATTTAGTTGGCTGTCCATCCCCCCCAACCTCCTTAAAAGGAATTAAAACTCAACCTATTTCCAGCGCCACGCCCTGATCTGCCTCCTTGATGACACCATCAGAATTGCCGATTTTTAGCCAATCCAAGGAAAAGCATTGAATTGGCTAAAATCAACAAGGAGGCTGGATAGGGACAGGGCCAAACACAGTTTTATCCAAACAGCACTTCTACATAGAGATGCATTGAATCAGTGCATCTGTATAAGGAAAATTCAGTGTCCCCATGCAGAGCGTGGAGACTCTGAAAAGGCAGTGTTTGCATGAAAATGCCTGAAGGCAATGATTATACTCACCAGAACAACTACATTAAGCTGTAGTTGTTGTGGTGACTATAGTGTCCCTTTATTCAAACACAGAAGTCTCCTGCAGGGTTTAGGACAGGCTTCTCTTAACTCCAACCCTCCAGATGTTGCTGAACTATAACTCCCATGATTCTCAGCCTATCTCTTTTATTCATAGAATCACAAGAGTTGTAGTCCAACAACATCTGGAGGGCCAGAGTTTGGGGAAGCCTGGTCTAGGAGGTTATTAATAGAACAGGAGATAACACATCCTAAATTAAACATAATGTGGAAAAGGGTAGGTTTCAACACTAGATATCTCTTTACAGGAAATGTTTAGGAAAGCTGTGTACATCACATGAACGGAGGGGTGACTAGAGCTGCATAAACAAAGTGATTTCACTTCTAAATAGCAGAGAATTGAGCAGTGAGACTGAAGGGCCATGTTCTATACAACAAAACAACTCTATAAATCTAAAGTTGCCTTTGGTGCTTTTTAAGTATCATTTTGGTGTCCATTTAAGTATGTTACCAGGACAGGTACATTGAGATGTTAACTTTTTTTTTTTTTTTTTAATTTTTTTTTAAAGAATGTTTTGGGTTATAAATATTATTTCACTTGTCTCTCTCACATCTCAATTTAATATGTTTTTATTTTTTATAGATCTGTGTTTAATGGGACATTAAAGGCACTATAACCATTTAAAAGGACACTATAGTCACCAGAACAGCTACAACTTAATATAGTTGTTCTGATGCGTATCGTTAGTCCTTACAGGCATTCTCATATAAACACTGCCTTTTAAGAGAAAGGGCAGTGTTTACATTGCTGCCTAGGAACACCTCCAGTGGCAGTCACTCACACAGCCACTAGAGGTGCTTCCTGGGTCAGTGCTGCACCTCTATGGAGATGCTGAACATTCCTCATAGAGATGCATTGGATTGACTGAGATAGTTGATTCTTATGATCTTTGCCAAGTAGGCGGTTCAGGGACATAGCCAGCGGTCAAGGAGAGACCGGCCATCTAAATAGTGTATTTAACACTTTAGTGTCAGTAATACCTGGTATCTGTATTCCTGACCCGATATTGTTCCCTTACTTTCATTGATGTAGTTATAGTGCTTGAAGTCCTGTAGCGTTATCCCTCAATTCAGTAGTAAACTATTTTTTAACACTTATTTTGTTATTATTTTGGCCACCTACATTCCGGCCCTCAGTGCATGTATAGCTAAGGCAGAGATTACATTCTTCATAACCAACCAAATCAGAGAGTGGTCCGCTGATACTCTCTGCCAATCCCCGCCACCCATTCCTGCTCAATCTAATACTTCCTCATTAGCCAGAGCAGTGCAGAAGGGATAGGCTGCCGGCTGCCAACGACTCTCCTTTAGCGATAAATCATTCAAAAATGTAATTCTTAGATTGTTAAGTAGAGTACATTTAGGTATCTCACTTCACATACTAACAAATCTTATATTTTGCTTTATAGTTAGTTTTTTATCTCTCTTGCTCCCTGGTTTCGCAGTGGGTGTAAAACTGTTACTGTCCCATCTAGATGGCATTGCTGTATTATGCCTTTGTTAAAGGTTTCTCTCTTTTTTTTTTTCTTTCGTTTCTCAATCGTGGATACACTTGTATATTTTTCACTAAGCTCCTTGTTTTCTCCGCTGCAGCTACTTACACTCATATCCAGCCTCACTCAGTCCTGCAGCAGAAACAGGTGGTTTTCCAGCAGCAGATTGCAATCCATCAGCACCGCCAGTCCCAGCTTGTCCACGCCTCCACCCACCTGCAGCTGGCACAGCCACAAGCTTCCACACAGCAGAATCTTCAGACGCCCCCAGCCCAGCAGACATTGGTTGTACAGCCCATGTTGCAGACGACCCCTGAGGCCACTCTGCCAACCAAAGCTCCTGTACCCATCCAGCCAAAGCAGCCTGGCAAAAGCATCCCCCCTCTGAATCTTCAAGGGCATCTTGGGACAAAACCTTCCCAGGCTAGTAGAGCGCTCCCCACACCTCCATCCAGCCAGCCTCACATCCCTGTGCAGTTGGTGGGGGCCAGGCAGCAAGGCCCTGCTCAAGCTTTGGCACTGGGTGCTCTGCAGGTTCCATCCCAAGGTTCTTCCCTCACACAGATGACTTCACCCCCATCCCCTGCTCCTGTACCTACTGCTGTGACTGGCACAGTGCAGGAATCGCAAGCTGGATTTTTTGGAGTGCTGCAGGTGAGCAGAAGGGAGAAGGCAAAGTTATTTTGCTGTGTTTACTGTGTTTCATACCAGGCTAACACCCGTGTCTGTGGCCCTTCAGGGTAAGATACCTGGAGCTGGAAAGAGGAAGGCTGAATCTGAAGAAGACAGGGAAGAATCCCCTACGCTGCCTGTTAAAACTTCTCCCCCTGCTGATACGCCCCCCAATGTGGAGGAAAGTAGCACCCCAGCTGGTAAGCAATGTGTGGTAAAGTTTGCCATTATATTGTTTGCAGATAAAGTAATCTTTGCTTTTCTGTATTGTATCAATGGTATTCGACATTATTTAGGTTATTTATAACCTTGATTGTCCTTTATTCTCCATCACAACCTCATGTAATGGAATATAATTTTCTTCAGCAGATAAATCAGAAGCTGCCTCCCAAGCCCCTCCTGTTCTTTCAGTATCCACTGCCCCTTGTGTTCCTACTCTTTCGGTCACTTCTCGCCAGCACAGTGACTCAAAGCCCCCTCAAGCCATTGTCAAGCCACAGATCCTAACTCATATCATTGAAGGTTTCGTTATCCAGGAAGGTGCTGAACCATTTCCTGTGAGTACGACGTTTGTAGAGTATTCCACTAGCTCCGCTTATAGTAGCTGAATAACTTGTATGTTTCCCTTCAGGTGGGTAGCCCTCAACTGCTAAAGGACCCGGAGAAGCTGCCAGCTGTTGGAACTCTTTTACCAGCAGCGGAAAGTTCACTTCCAACCCCTGCAGAAGACACAGCTGTTAGTGGTATGCGTTATGCTATCAGTGCTCTTAGCTACATTCATCTGTATATCAGTTTGTTTATGTATCACTGTTAGCTGACTTCTGACTGGTTGATCGATCAGTTTCTAATAGATCACATTTTTCCACTGTCCTTTTTAGTGTTGCCAGTCACTCCATGTCTGATATTTCTGTGTCTTTCCAAATCTTTCTCCATTGTATGTTTGGCGATATGTTCCCTGTCATCTATTCCCTTATTGTACTGTGCATCCTTCATTTGTTAGATTCTGGGAGTGCTAAGCTCCTGAAATGCGAGTATTGTGGGAAGTTTGCCCCAGCTGACCAGTTTCGTGGATCCAAGAGGTTCTGTTCAATGACTTGTGCCAAGAGGTAATTCTCTGAAAATGCAGATTCACTTTTGGGTAAATTATGTTTGTAGCATGTTTGAATTATGGACCGTTTTTGGTTTGTTTGTTTATTTATTTACACATTCTTCAGTTGTCTGCTACATGTTCTTATGTTTTACAGGCAAATTGACAATGGAATTTCTAGCTTCACAGCTTGCATTTATTTATTTATTTATTACGCTTAATATATATTTTTTGATATATTTAAATATGTCCAGTAAACAATAAATAATTCTATAGTGTGATTGTTTGAAGAAGTGAATTCAGGGATATCTTAAAACATGGTATATGTGGATTTCTCCCTCTCAGATATAATGTCAGCTGCAGCCACCAGTTTCGGCTAAAGCGGAAGAAGCTGAAGGAGCTTCAGGAAGCCGGGGCCGTGAGAGCACGTAGACCGAGGAGGAATAGCTCAGAGATCGCACGTGCCAAGATCCAAGGGAAGAGGATGCGGGTAAGGACTGGTCTCCTATTTGTTTTGGTATGCCTTTGCTCTTTGTTAGGGTATTTTAACTGCTAAGTTATATTATAGAATTCATTGCAAACCCATCTAAGTGTATGTCTGCTTTGGTGTCTCTCTTACAGGAAGACTCAAGCCGGGGATCCGATAATTCCAGTTATGATGAGGCATTCTCACCTGCAACAGTCGCTCCACCCTCTTGTAGATCATCACATGGAGAGCGAGAAGGAAGCATTCCCACCAGCGGACCTTCGAATTCTGACCTCCTGGGGATAAACCCAATGTTCCTGTCTAGTAACCCAAGCCGCTGGAGTGTGGAGGAGGTGTACGAGTTCATATCTTCTCTGCAAGGTATGACTGAATATTCAACTTATTTGGAACCATTTCCTCATCCTCTCTTTCTCTGCTCCTGTGTAGCTGTTAATGCCGGCAGCGGCTAAAGGGCTTCTTTAAGCTTACTCCTATATTACAATTAGCTCCCGCTTACTTTAGCCCATTGTAACATTCAGTTTGTAATCCCCCTTTTAAATGTATTATTTAGATATTATATTTGTAACATCACATTACAAATTTCACAGCTTCCTCTGGTGAGCTCTGCTGAAGTACCTGTTAGCCTATCCTAGCTTTCCATTGTTTTCAGAAGGAGTAATGAGCACATGCCATAAGCATATAAACTCCATAGTAGTTCAATGAAAAAAAAAACTTTAATGAAATGGCTTCATTAACTCCATGGTAAGAAGGCCACAATTTGAGTCTCTTTTAATTATGGTGTATTGTAACTGCAGCTACAAGGGTAAGGATATATGTGCTGCTATCCGCTTATTCATTTAAAAATCGTTCTGCTCATCATATCAGATGAACAGCTACAGGCCTGAACGAGTTGACTACTAAACCCTTGAAAGTCAAGTTTTTATGGCATAAGATCAGACCACAAACTTGAAAGAGTCCTGATTGGTGAGGCCAAATGGGGATCAATAATTTTTCAATTAAAAAGTGTTCTGCTATTATACAGCAGTTCCATTTCATATTGCTCATTTTAATCATGTGCAGCCAAGTATCACTGACCCTAAGAAGTGTTGGCTTAAAGGACCACTATAGGCACCCAGACCACTTCATCTCAATTAAGTGGTCTGGGTGTCAGGTCCCCCCCTAGTTTTAACCCTGCAGCTGTAAACATAGCACTTGCAGAGAAACCGCTATATTTACATTGAGGGTTAATCTAGCCTCTAGTGGGTGTCTCCCTGAAAATCGCATTGAGGACACGCTGGACCTCAATAGGAAAGCATTGAGTAATGCTTTCCTATGGGCGGGTTGAATGCGCGCATGCACGGACAGATGCGCATTCGGAGATGACGTCGGCAGGGGAAGGAGAGGTCACCAGCTCCAAGGGATTAAAGTAAGTGGGTGAAGGGGTTTTAACTCCTTCAGCCCAGCGGGAGGGGGGCACCTAATAACCCTATAGTGCCAGGAAAACGGGATTGTTTCCCTGGCACTATAGTGCTCCTTTAACCTTTATGTATTGTTTTGCATTTTTTTTGCACCCAGTTTGGAAAATAATAAGACAATCTTTCTTTTTTTCCCCATTTATATGTTGTGCAGGCTGCCAAGAGTTGGCAGAGGATTTCCGCTCCCAGGAAATTGATGGGCAGGCTTTGTTGTTGCTGAAAGAGGAACATCTCATGACGGCTCTAAACATTAAACTGGGACCTGCATTGAAAATCTGCGCCAAGATCAACCTGCTCAAGGAAACTTAACTCAGCTTTTTACATTGCTGTCCACATGTGGATTGGAAAACAAGCAGCAGGTGGCTTTGAGCAACAGCGGTCAATGATTTTACTAGGAGTACAGACTGAACACACCTCAGCCAGTTTTAAGGAGAGAAGGATCTACAGCTTATTGCAGCATTCATAACCTCTCCATGACTGCCTCAACACTCCTGAACTCGTTCATCTTTTATCATCTCCTCCTTGTTACTCTCTAAATATATATCTATCTTCTGTATGTCTGTATCTGTTCGTCAATGCTTATCTGCAGACAGGTTTGATATATTTATAAAGAATATGATGGTGATCCTAAAGGACTCTCAGTTCAAAGGATGATATTCATGCACAAGGCTGAGGAAACATTTGAAAAAGAAAAAAAAGTAATTGGCATTTGTGCATTAATATCCTCCCAAGTGACATTTTGTGTCAATGTGTGCTCTTTGTAGATGTGGATGGCACTTGGAGGTCTTAGGCTATTCACACATGGACATGTTTTCCAAAGCCTTTCATATTCCATTAAGGTACCAGGTGTGCCTTATCGAGAGGCTAATGCCAGAAAAATTAAGACAGGTGCCTCATTTTATACAGGCTTGTGTGCAGTTTCTAAAAACAAAACAAAAAGGTCTTTAAACCCGATTCATCTAACGTTGAAGGCACTTTATTGGGAGCTGTGCCTGTATGGAACAAAGTAACTCCCTTGCTTAAGATCAGGAACACAGATTGAGAGGTGGTTCTTGTTAAATTTGCTTTTCTGGATGCAAAGGATTGTCCACGCTCTGCTTCTTTTGGACAAAAGCTGGTGAGCCCGTATTGGAGTAAGTTTAAGCTATGAGTTTGCATATTGGGTGAAATAAGACAGGCCTACTCTTGGTGTGGGACAAGGTCTGTTCTACTATGGATTTACACCTATTGGAGTTAGAAAACCTACACCCAAAAGTCAATTGATAATACTGTAAATAAATTGGCACATTTTATCTATTCACGGGACTGTTTCACACTGTGAGCAAATGCTCTGATATGTGTTGTTTATGGAGCAGTTCCAGAAAAGGTTCCACAATAACATTTGCAGTTCTATATGAAAGTAAACACTTAATTGGTACTAAATAATTAATTACAATTAGTGCTATTTCCTCTGCCTGTGAGAATTAATCTTTTCACTCTGCAGTATAATTGTACCACAGCCTCAAATCCTTTTGATGGCATAGAATATACAATATGCCATGACAGACAGCACATAATCTGACTTCCGGATGGCTACTCTGCTCTTATATATATATATATATATATGTGCATGCATCAAGTACACAATTGGTCTGTTTCTTGGGAGAATACGCGTAAGATTTAAAGTGTTATTTTCCACAAGAGTCTGATATACACACTCCTATATTCCTGCAGTGATTGCAGCACTTTACTAGACACAGGGTTCATGCATTCATTCTGCTGTATCACCTAGAAATATGTGGTGACTGTTTACTTTGGACCAGGCCTTTCATTGTAGTGCTGCAAAGTGTACCATACGCTAGGGAGGTAGCAGTTCCCTCCCCTGACACCCCACCTCCCAAACTGTGAAAGATTTATTTCCTGCACCCAACTTCTTGTGAATGAAGTTTATGACTAAAGGCTAGTTGGCGTATAATTCATAAACAGCTATTGTAGACTAAACTTTGCAATTTGGATTAAAAGACTATGGCTTATATTTAGCATATAAAACCATGTCTGGGAATATGATCAGTGAAAGCCCACAAGACCATTACAACTTTTGATAAAACACGCCAGGAACTATGTGCCTAACAATCTAGTTTATTTTCTTGTTTGCCATTAAACAGTCTCTGTAATTATGTTAACAAGGCTCTGCAGGCCTAAGACATTAGGAAACCATGTTATTGCACAGATACAGCCAACAAGCCTGCCTACCTCCCAAGCCCTTTGGATCTACAGATGATACTCCAAAAATTTGAATATCGTGCAAAAGTTCATTTATTTCAGTAATGCAACGTAAAAAGGGAAACTAATATATAAGACGCATTACATGCAAAGCAAGATAGTTCAAGCTGTGATTAGTCATAAATGCGAGGATTATGGCTTACAGCTCATGAAAACCCCAAATCCACAATCTCAGTAAATTAGAATATTACATGCAATCAATAAAACAAGGAGTGTACATAAAACAATATCGGACCTCTGAAAAGTATAAGCATGCATATGGACTCTACTTTGTTTGGGCCCCTTTTGCAGCAATTACTGCCTCAATGCGGCGTGGCATGGATGCTATCAGCCTGTGACACTGCTGAGGTGTTATGGAAGACCAGGATGCTTCAATAGCTGCCTTCAGCTCTTCTGCATTGTTCGGTCTCTTGTCTTTCATCTTTCTCTTGGCAATGCCCCATAGATTCTCTATGGGGTTCAGGTCAGGCGAGTTTGCTGGCCAATCAAGCACAGTAATCCCACAGTCATTGAACCAGGCTTTGGTGCTTTTGGCAGTGTGGGCAGGTGCCAAGTCTTGCTGGAAAATTAAGTCTGCATCCCCATAAAGCTCGTCTGCGGAAGGAAGCATTCACAATGCTTTCCTATAGACGCTGGCGTCTTCTCACTGTGAAAATCACAGTGAGAAGCACACAAGCGCCTCTAGCTGCTGTCAATAAGACAGCCACTAGAGGCTGGATTAACCCATAGGTAAACATAGCAGTTTCTATGAAACTGCTATGTTTATAGAAAAAAGGGTTAACCCTAGCTGGATCTGGCACCCAGACCACTTCATTAAGCTGAAGTGGTCTGGGTGCCTATAGTGGTCCTTTAATGAAGCACAGTGGACCAACACCAGCAGATGACATGGCTCCCCAAATCAACACCGACTGTGGAAACTTCACACTAGACTACAAGCATCTTGCAGTGTGTGTCTCTCCATTCTTCCTCCAGACTCCTGGGTCCTTGATTTCCAAATGAGATGCAAAAGTTGCTCTCATCAGAAAAAAGGACTTTGGACCACTGAGCAACAGACCAGGTCTGTTTTTCTTTAGCCCAGGTAAGACGCTTCTGACGCTGTTTGTTGTTCAGGAACGGCTTGACAAGAGGATTACGACATCTGAAGCCCATGTCCAGGATCAATCTGTGTGTGGTGGCTCTTGATGCACTCACTCCAGCCTCAGTCCACTCCTTGTGAAAGTCCCCAACACATTTGCTTGGCCTTTTCCTGACAATCCTCTCCAGGCTGCGGTCATTCCTGCTGCTTGTGCACATTTTTCTTCCACACTTTTCCCTTCCACATAACTTTCTATTAATGTGCTTTGATACAGCACTTTGGGAACAGCCAACATCCTTCACAATTACCTTTTGAGGCTTTCCCTCTTTATGGAGAGTGTCAATGATGGTTTTCTGCACAACTGTCAGGGCAGCAGTCTTCCCCATGATTGTGATTCCTACTGAACCAGACAGAGACCATTTGAAGGCTCAGAAACCCTTTGCAGGTGTTATGGCTTACTTAGGTGATTAGAGTGGGACACTGTGAGCCTAGATTATTGCACCTTTTCACAATATTCTAATTTACAGAGATTGTGGATTTGGGGTTTTCATGAGCTGTAAGCCATAATCATCGCACTTATGACAAATCACGGCTTGAACTATCATGCTTTGCATGTAATGCGTCTCTCATATATTAATTTCCCCTTTTACGTTGCATTATTGAAACAAATGAACTTTTACACAATATTCTAATTTTTCGAGTATCACCTGTATGTCTGCCCTCTTAACATTCTCCCCACCTTGGTGAACAGTAATTGCACCCCTCATTTTACTAGAAAATTATCCAGTAGTCTCAAATGAACCCTTCAGCCTCCCATATCCTACAGCGAAGCTCCATGGGAGATGTAGTCGGGAGTGTTTGCTTATTAGGCAAAGTACCTGTTGCTGCAGGAGCTATTTGTGGTCTTCCATTTGCGTTAAATCAACTGCAACTCGATACTAATGTGACACAGCACAGATTAAATTGGCAGTACAACTCAAATGATCATAGTGGCAAAGGTAACTTCCCCTAGGAGTCAGAAATGGATTTTAGTATAAAATCAATTTGTTTGTCAATAGTTCAATAACGCATATTATACTGAGAATTGGCTGATGAGCTAAACTGCAGGCTAATGGAGGTGCAAAATTCATTTAAAACACCCAAACATTCAGCTGAAGCTAGGTTTTCATTTGGAGTTTAATTAGAACCCTATGTTGTCTGCGTGTTTTGTAATCTTTATGTATGCTACTGCAATGTAAAAAAAAAAAACAACAACCCAGCAATAGAGCAAATACTATATGTATACTTTTGGCACATTTTTGTAAAGTTACAGGGACAAATAAGATCTGCGCAGTTTATTATTTTATTTTTTTTTATCTCTCAAACCATAGACTTTTGTTACTTTGTCTATAAATCACATTTTGGGATATTTTTAACAGCACAAAAATGTAAATTGCACTCTTGGAGGGATCACTAAACCATTTTAAAAAGTAACTGCAAAAGATCACAAAAGGCCAGTGATTTTTACTTCCCCCACCCTGTGAATAGCTATACATCTCCATCATACGTTCAAGTAGAAGGAAGTGTCAAATATTGCACATCTGTCTACGCTACATCAATATTGGTGAATCGTATTTGTTAACTGAAACTCAGTCACACAGAGGTTTTTTTCTGAAAATAGTGAATTGTAGTGAAATAGAAATATAGGACAAAAGAGCCAAACTTCTTATTTTGCACAAAATGTCCAATTCACTATGATCTGCACTTGAGAGAATAAATATGTTCTACAAAACAGCAGTTACCATGGGAACCAATGGAACGTCCCAGTTTTATCCTAAACACCTTGTTCTGGATTTGCACATTTTACCAACCACCCTCCAATGTGGGTACTCATGATAAATATTTACAAATTGTATTTAACCCCTTAAGGACACAACTTCTGAAATAAAAGGGAATCATGATGGAATATTTCCGTCATGTGTCCTTAAGGGGTTAAATGTCCAGTTCCAGATTTCAATTTAATTTGCTGTTTCCCTAATTTGCTCAGATTCCCAATCACAGGTTGATGTCTCCTATCAATATCCCTGAAGTGGGGGATCATATCCACTGCAAGTGCTATATACTAGAGCTTGTTTTAGCTCTATTCCATGTGAGTAGGTCATTTGGACTTCTTTTTATTCACATGTTTACCTTATTTTATACATATTGCACTATTGGGAGTTCTTTTCTTTTCTCTTTTATGTTCCTGGATTTTGAACATCTGGAAAGTACACTAACCTGAAGATACAGGCAAACCCTTATAGACTTATCCATACTACTGTATTTTATCTTGGACTTTGTTTGTTCCTTTTATATACACAAACTTTTACTATCATAGGTCAGTGTATATTAAGTTTAATTTTGTTTTATCTATAGTCATTCTTATCCCCAATCACTTGGCGTACCCTATTGTTTTGTATTTCTATTTATTTCTTTTGGGTTTTTAGGAGACATTAACCTGTTTAGGCGTGCTGCCTACCCTATAGAAACTTAGCGCTATTCCACTCCTCGCTCTCTCCCAATCACTTATTGCTTATATAGGAGTAGTCACTGACTACTTTAGGAGGAAGAAAGGAAAACCAAAACATCTGTTTTTACATTTTATATTTTCCCAAAATATTTTGTACAAAACAAAATTCCCAAAACCTTCAATAAAAATCACAAAAAATATTAACACCCAAAAACAAAGATTAGATAATGACTTCAAGGGTGGGGTGGAGTGTGATCGGTTCAGTAGTGGTTAATGCTTACTGTACCCTTTTTACTAAATGGTGCTCCCTATACAGGTCAGTGGCTGTGGAGAACATTGTATAATGTGGGCAAGTCTTATTAAGTATTACTTTAAATTTCAGTGTATTGGGTGTGACATCTTAATCCCACTTCTAGCACCAGTTATATCAGTCCAGTAGTTAAGAGAACAGACCATCACATACCAAACCTGCAGCATAAACTAACTGGTGCCAGCTAAGTCCCACATGATGTAAAACAAAACAGGAAGATTTTCAACCATTTTTGCCAAACATGCAGATTATAAACCTGCAAACTGCTAGGCAGTTTATGAAACCATCTGTGCCGCACTTCTTTTGAAACTTTAAATGCACAACATAATCCATTTTCCTTATAATGTCAAAAGTATCTCGAAAACCGAGCTCCTGCTGAGAGATCTTCAGTCATTCTCTCCTACAGCAGACCGCTGCCTACATGTAATAAATAGATTGGGGAGTCCGGTTGCGTTGTACTGGGTCACTACAGAAGTCCACAATTTCCATGGAAGCATTACTTGGTAGCACGGCACTACGGTTCGGTCCCCAGCATACGATCATATTAATACCGGCAGGACCACCACAACAAGAGAATTTAGAATAAGGCCCTATTCAGCATAGAAGCAGAAAGAGATGAGAGGCTAAGCAGCAGGAAAAGTACAGAAAAAGGGGCTGCTAAGGGTGATATAGCTGTGCTTCTCCCAGTTCCTAAGGTTTCAGGGGTGACCTGGGTTCCAATATCATCACATTGGTAATAAGTGATCGTCTCTTTCTTCTGGCTCTTCCCCAAGCTGATCATCACCGACTCCTCTATATGTCGTATCAGTAGACCGAGGCCGAGACCGGCAAGTGAAATCACAGCCATCCTATAAACAAGAAAAAATAAATAAAAATAATTTACAATTCCTACCTCATATGCCAAATGCCCAGGATTCATATTAAAAGGGACCTTTTCCAGCAAGTGTGGGGAGATTAAAGGGGTTTCGTAGGCTTGCTCCTTGCTGTACAGGATAATATCATTCCTTTCTGTACCTTGGATTTATTGTATCATAGCTTGGCTATTACTATTTGGCCATGAGATGTACTGTTGATACTGCTGCTACAATTGTCACATGAAAAACTTTCAGTAAACTTATTTTAGTAAAAGGAAAAAAATATATATTTATATTTTAATTGTAATTAAACCATACTCACTGCTACCAAATTGCCGAACTCTTGCCAGAAGGTGATATTTGGAAACTGTTCCATGCCTTTGGCACCAACAACAAAGCGCTGATAGAGAAATCCACCAATGAGATAAACTGCAATCAGCACAACAAATCTGCAAAGAACATGAACAAAAATGGTTTACAATCTACTCGCTAATATCACTGCGCACCCCGTTCCGCTCATGCGCATTCGGAGCAGGGGGTGTTCCCCAGCACAGAGGGAGCCCGGCGCTGGAGAAAGGTAAGTGGCTGAAGGGGGGAACCTGATGACCCTATGATGACAGGAAAACAAGCTTGTTTTCCTGGCACTATAGTGGTCCTTTAAGTACTCCAGCAAAAATCTGGCTGAACATGAAATCCAGCCACATTCCTTCTATGGAAGCATATCGTTGGTTCCAACATCTCTCAGTTGATCAGAAAGTGAACTTGACAGAGTCCGGAATGTGGAGAAGCACACTGTGTGGATTAGGCAGAGTCATATGTCACACGACTTCAGGTACAAGCTTAATATCTCTAACATTGTTATAGAATCCTAAAAATGAGAACTCCATCGGGTTCCAATTTTTTTTTTTTTTTTTTAAACCACTCATTTAATAAGAGAAGCATCCAACAGCAGTCAGTGTCAACAGCACATTATAGTGCTATGAAAACATGACCAAAAAGCTCTTGTCTATATGATCCTTATTTTATTATTACAGATTGTGTAACAATTTAATCTCAGAACCATGAGCGATACGATAAATAGGATAAGATATTACACACACCCTTACCCAAAAAAAAAAAAAAAAATACATGACATTTGTACACGCGGCTTAGCATTATGTCAGAGATAGTAAAGGTTATTTTAGGTAAAGAACAACTACTGGTAAAAGTCTAAAGATATACTCCAATACTATGTGTTACAAAGTAAGAATGTAGATACTAGTAGAGCCCTGCAACATTGTTACAGACTAGAATCCAGGTGGGGAGAGTAAATAAATTAGTGGGAAAATACAGAAATACTATGATACTGACTATTATCCTACTGTGCCTTGGTGGGCTCCCCTTAAAATAAAAACTATGATTTTTTTTAAGAACATTACTACACACCTCCTCCACAAAACTAAAAAGAGATCACTGATGAGAGGTATGTATAGATCCCGAATTGTAAACGGATAAATAGTTATAGCATCTTGCAGGCAAGGTGTATTAACCGATATGACCGAGCCTAAGAGATCAATGGTTGGTGCGAGCTCACTACTAAAGCAGTGGCTATTAAGTGGTCTGGAAATGGTCTGTGGGTATGGGCAGAAACAAGTCTTTGATGTTAGAAGAAGAAAGAGAAAGGACAGATATGTGATCATCAAAATATTTTTAGGACTATTTTCCTAAAAAGGGTTGCCTTTGATGTTACACCCTTTCAAATTGCTACAGTGTATAAACATTGCAAACCTAAAGCCAACCTGGGACAGAATGTTTCATATACAGCAATTCCCATGTTATTACAGAACACAATGTTACCATCACCCAATGTTGCCACAACATACAAACATGCTTTATATCAGAAAGACTAGACCAACTAACAGTTCAATAAATAGTGGATACATCCAATTACATTTAAATAAAGGATCCAAAACTATCAAATTATTAACAACGGCTCTAAACATTCTACTTTCCCCTCTCACAGAATGAATGTTCCCTATAGACCCTACACAGACTGTATACAATTACTAACCAGGTCCCTATAGACCCTACACAGATGTATAAATTATAACCAGGTCCCTATAGACCCTACACAGACTGTGTACAATTACTAACCAGGTCCCTATAGACCCTACACAGACTGTGTACAATTACTAACCAGGTCCCTATAGACCCTACACAGATGTATAAAATTACTAACCAGGTCCCTATAGACCCTACACAGACTGTGTACAATTACTAACCAGGTCCTATAGACCCTATATAAAATTACTAACCAGGCCCTATAGACCCTACACAGACCAGGTCCCTATAGACACTGCACAGACTGTATACTAACCAGGTCCCTATAGACTGCAACCAGGTCCCTATAGACCCTACACAGACTCCCTATAGACACTGCACAGACTACTAACCAGGTCCCTACTACACAATTACTAGGTCCCTATAGACCCTGTATACTAACCAGGTCCCTATAACTGCACAGAATGTATACAATTACTAACCAGGTCCCTATAGACCCTACACAGACTGTGTACAATTACTAACCAGGTCCCTATAGACCCTACACAGACTGTGTACAATTACTAACCAGGTCCCTATAGACCCTACACAGACTGTGTACAATTACTAACCAGGTCCCTATAGACCCTACACAGACTGTATACAATTACTAACCAGGTCCCTATAGACCCTACACAGATGGTATAAAATTATTAACCAGGTCCCTATAGACACTGCACAGACTGTATACTAACCAGGTCCCTATAGACCCTACACAGACTGTATACAATTACTAACCAGGTCCCTATAAACCCTACACAGACTGTGTACAATTACTAACCAGGTCCCTATAAACCCTACACAGACTGTATACAATTACTAACCAGGTCCCTATAGACCCTACACAGACTGTGTACAATTACTAACCAGGTCCCTATAGACCCTACACAGACTGTGTACAATTACTAACCAGGTCCCTATAGACCCTACACAGACTGTGTACAATTACTAACCAGGTCCCTATAGACCCTACACAGACTGTGTACAATTACTAACCAGGTCCCTATAGACCCTACACAGACTGTATACAATTACTAACCAGGTCCCTATAGACCAGGTCCCTATAGACACAGACTGTATACAATTACTAACCAGGTCCCTATAGACCCTACACAGACTGTGTACAATTACTAACCAGGTGCCTATAGACCCTACACAGACGGTATAAAATTACTAACCAGGCCCTATAGACACTGCACAGACTGTACACAATTACTAACCAGGTCCCTATAAACCCTACACAGACTGTGTACAATTACTAACCAGGTCCCTATAGACCCTACACAGACTGTATACAATTACTAACCAGGTCCCTATAGACCCTACACAGACTGTGTACAATTACTAACCAGGTCCCTATAGACCCTACACAGACTGTGTACAATTACTAACCAGGTGCCTATAGACCCTACACAGACGGTATAAAATTACTAACCAGGCCCTATAGACACTGCACAGACTGTACACAATTACTAACCAGGTCCCTATAAACCCTACACAGACTGTGTACAATTACTAACCAGGTGCCCATAGACCCTACACAGACTGTATAAAATTACTAACCAGGTCCCTATAGACACTGCACATACAGTCTATGCCATTATTAATCTAATCCATAGGGTGTTACACAGACTGTCATAATAATCTCTCTATAGACCCTACAGTCTAGAGACCACACAAGGACCAATGTCATTATTAACCGGATCTTTATAGACTGGATGTGAATCAACATTCATTATTAATTTGGTCACTTAGTATCTCACGGTCTGCACTACTTAGGCTTCAAATCATCATACGAGCAAGACATTAGCAGGGTTTATGTTATTGATCTCCCTGTGGTCACTGCAGCAGGATCCTCAGATTTAATAAAACTTCTTGTTAACCACCAGACTCTCCAAAAATACTTGACGTCACAGTTCCCCCTTTTCTCCCGTTAAAAACAACCATATCTTTTGTTTGCCCATCTTTATATGATCATATAAACATCAGTAGTTAAAACCTGCCTGACACAGAGAGAACTAGAATGGAGAATTTAAAAAACCATAAGATGGAATCAGATGTCTTACAGTGAGGAGAACTGAGCATTTCTATGGCTAAATTCAGCTCTCCACAATACAGGTGAAAAAAAAAAAAAAAAGACATTAAACATGTTTACACCTAATTGTAGCATTAAATGTTAGAGGAACAACCACAACTTTTTTTTACATATAAAAAAAAAAAAAAAAGTAATAATACTTTCACGGTAAACACTTACACAATAAGTAGAATGGATCCCACACTGAGATGGGATTCCTCCGGAGGGCAGGCAACACTACTGTCCATCTCAAACAGGTAAAAGCACTCATTGGACTTGCTTCTTTCTTCTTTAATTGCCATGAAACCATCCTGCCAAGAACAAAAATGCACATTGCAAACACAACGGATCAGGTACGGTGAACAAATGGCAGGCCAGATGCTGTGAACATAGGGACACAGCCGTTTGATATACAGCTAGTGGTTTTTCCTAAACCTCACTGGCCCCATTTATACACTTCTCTTCCATTTAAACAAGGGTTCATGCATTTCAACAATCCTCTGTGTACAAACTCACAGCCCCAGTAGCCATCTGACCAACTGAAGGTTTGCCCAGTTTTGACCCATGATTGGTTAGATGAGAAGCCAGCCAATGACAGTGCAGAGAGGCTAATAAGAAGTCAGGCAGTCGGGGTATATACCCAATCAGTACGGTATAGCTTCATTGAAATTACCGCCAGACAGCTGGACTCTAAGGTTCCATTTTGTTCTGTCCTAAATATTTTTGCTGATCATATTGTCTTTTTAAAAAGCTAGAAGTTACATGAAATATGTTCTCTTCTAATACAAGATTTGAAGTTGAGTGCCTATTTCAGAAGAAGTGAAAGTCACCTTTTTGTGCAGCAGCTGAACTTGAGCATCTGGGATTAAAATTGTTACCTCAAATCATCTAACCACAAATCCAACTATGCAAAGAAAATTGTAAAGATTTTGAAAATGCTTTATTTCTAGTTATGGCTGCCACAAGAAAGTACACACTCTCGTAGCACTGTCCGTTCCTTACCGCCAATGTGTTCTTGTTGCAAGAAATCATTATCATAGCTTTCCGTGGTTCGCTGCCGCAATGGTTGTCATATTTATCTCCTCCTCTGTATGACAGCAATATCCAGTCAGCTGTGTTAAACAGAAACATCACAGACTTAACATTTAAACAGGGAACATTGGAAGATAGGTGGGATTATTCCATGGGTTTTAAACAAAAAATCTCGTGTTGTTAAGGCTCTTGTATTTAGGACTATTTAGTTATTCTTGCAACAACAAAAACTGCACCCCTGTATAAAAAAAATTCATTGATATCAAGTAGTCTAAGACTTTAGTGTTTCTTTACATTAAGATAATATAAATGCAATGTGGCACAGAGAAGGTTAATCACAGGATTTTGGTAATTACACTCTGTAAATTAAAATAATTATAAATAACATACTAAACAATGCATCAAATGTATCGCTTATCTTATAGCGAAATGACTGCATTGCAGAAACAGAATGGAATCCGAAATCTTACTTCCATTGATGACATGGGTCTCATTGATTCGGCCAATAACGATATTGTTCTCTTTTTCGGTAGTGGATGCCGGTTTTTTTGTTTGTAGCAGCCCCTCATTTGTTGATCCGTTGGTAAGGACCTTTCCACACACCACAAAGGTGTAAGTATAGGTGCCAGTATCTTCTTGAATTTCAATTTCAAACCTAAAAAAAAAAAAAAAAAAAAAGATAAAGATTATATGTCAATACTCACTACAAGTATCCTGCAAGGAGATTTACTGAACCTGGAAATATCGTGAGCATCTAGGGAGAGATGGTGAGAGATTTTCACTAGACATGCAAATCTTCTGTTTGTACATAAACAAATCGATTTGTCAGAATCAAAGTCCTTTTAATGCATACCCGAACAAATCCATACATGGGATCTATTCATTTGAATGTGGATTAAAAGCATTTTGTTTATGATGGAACCAAGGTTCTGCACATGTCTTGTTTTCACATGCTCAGTGGAGATGTGAACCCCTCCTGATAGGCAGCAACATTGTTTTCTTAACTAGAGAGAGCCAGCAATCAGATATAACCTGAAACTACAAAAGATTTGCCAGTATGATTAGAGTTATAGAGAACACACTTCGTATTGGCAGATGACATTTCTGAAAAAATAAAAAAAATAAAAATATTTTAAAAAATGATAAACTCTCTGATGATAATTAAGTAGAGAAACTGCAATAAAAAAAAAAAAATACTTAGTAACAACATAGTATGGACACCACTGCCAAGAAAACATCACCGCTAACATTCATGTAGATTATGACGTATAAATGGGTACATTTAATGTTTCCACTGTCACCACATAAACTAAAAACTTAAAGGAATACTATAGTGTCAGGAATAGAAACATGTTTTTCTGAAACTATAATGTTAAGCTAAATATCTATGTCACCAGCCCCCCTCCAATCACACAGGAATGGTGTTTTAACTCCCCCTTTTTTCCCCTGGCTAAGGATCATAAATCCAATGCTTTCCCACAGGAAAAAGTGCATTTTTATGGGGAATGTTCATCATGGATAAGCTGAATGTAGGTGCGGTCCACTGTGTAGCACTGAGATAGGGAGCGCCTCTAGTGGCCATTTGAGTGACTGCCAGCAGAGGTGTTGCTAGGCATCAGTGTAAATACGGCCTTTTCTTTGAAAAGCCAGTGTTTACATTGAAAATCCTGCAGGGACAGGCTATAGGCATCAGAACCAGTACACTAGTGGTTCTGGGGACTAGAGTCCCTTTAAATCCTATGGTAAGGTGTGCAACCAAACAAGCACACTGCAGAAACAAAGCAGCAAAAAAAAAAAAAAGTAGAATCCACCATAAAAGAGCACAGTTACAATAATTCCACCACAGGAGAGCACAGCAAAGAACAACCAACTAAATCTTAGAGAACTGGTTCAGTTCACATATTAAAAAAAACTAGTCACTGTGTAAATATTCTGAGATATCCTGGAAGCTGCAATTTACAACAGATCTAGAATAATTCACAAACACGCAGTAAAATTATCTCACCAAAGATAAATAGAAAGTTTGAACCTATGCAGTGTTCCAACCAAGGTTTGAAAAAAAGGACTGTTCAGGGTTAAAATTATGCTTTTTATTTTGTCATTAGTGGAAAACCTTCACAGATTGAAAATTTCACTGAACGTCTGTTTAATCTACTGAATTGGTACTTGGACAAAGTCCAACCTTAAATCCCTAGAGGGAAGATAGTGACCCGGAAAAGTTTCACCTACAACTGCGATAACTTGATATTTTATAGGGGGTTACAGTTACTTTATTCTATGCAAGTTAAGATCATGTAGCAGCTGATGGTTTTTCTAGCCTGAAATTCTCGATTTGCAAATTATCACACACCTGTGATTTTCAATTAAATCAATTTTTTATTTTTTATTTTTTTTTTTATATTTTCTCTCTCGGCTGATCTCTTTACTTGCTTACGCGATGATTCAGAGCTTCTTGCAGCAGTTATATGTATAAGCAGGCAATTCCCTAATATAAATTTTATCATGGTTAGCTATAAAAAAAGAGAATGCACAGAAAGATAAAAGAAAAGGAAAATAAAAACAAACCCACAGATAAAACACAAAAGGTATCACAAATAATGTGAAAGCATATGCTTTGCAGCACCACTCACTGTATACATAATGTGTAATAACTGCAGTGATTCTCAAACATTGGTATTCTGTGTCTAGAAAAATATGGTGGATCTTTCCATGCCAATTCCATCTAGTTATAGGAATCAACATGCTGGACCAGAGTGTAGGCCAAAATAAATGAAAAACCCAAAACAAAAACAAAAAAACCTACAAATCTAATAAAGTAAAAACATTATTAAACATGTATGCACTGGTTAGTTGAGAAATCAGGCAGGATTACGGAGGTGTGTTTATAAAGTTATATTAGATAAAAGAATAGTTAAGCCCTCTCATGAGCTCCCAGAACAATGTTACCCTCTTAACATTATAGCAACTTCAACTGCTAATGCGATTATAGTGCAAGGACCCAGTCTGTACAGCATTTCATATTGAAACACTGCCAGATCTAAGATACTTGACATATTTAACTGGGGCTATATCAATTTTATGCAGATTTTGGACTGAGCTCTCTCCTCCCAGGAGAGAGAGATAACCAAGCCATCAACTGCACACACGGAGAACTTAATACAGTTTGGTTCAGTAAACAATGAGCGAGGCTTTGTGTAAACTGATAGCAGCCTTGGTAGGTTGTTATCCTTTTACAGAGTGGAACTGCTCTTGAAGGATAAACCACTTGGTACATAAGCCTCTGCACGGCATTTGTTTATGGAATAAGAGTTTCGTCCTGGTGTGGGACAAATCTGCATGTAGATGCAGACAGAACCACTGCAAGGTTGACTCAGGAAAACAAAATTGAAAATTAAATACTGACCTTTAAATTATTTTTGCATTATTTGTTATTAATGCATTAAAAATTAGGGGTCCTATTAACCCCTTAGGTTTCCTTTCAATGCCTAAAAAAATAAAATGAAAAATAAAAAAAAGATAGGAAGTTATCATTTCCACATTCTAGGTTTCCACAAATTGAAGGTTTGTGTGTGATTTACACAATGTACTAGTGAAATTATCAACAAACGCACGCATTCACTTTTTTCCTTATATTTGGTTTTTGATCATCACGACATAAACCTTTCTCCAGCTACAATATTGAGCAGTATGCCTCAATTCCGAGTAGGAAAACAGACTTTGACATTTGGCTCCCGGCACACAAGTGCAAATATCTCAGTATGTACAGGATATCCACTTGAAAGCAGAAGTTGCATGGTAGCTAGAGTAACCCTTTAAAAAACTACAAACAGAATACAGTGAATTGGCAATGACAAATCAGCAACTTAGATAACACTGTATTATCTAAGGTTATCAAGCAACAAAACAGTCAGTGTAGACAGACAATTATTTTGCCATTTTTCGCTGATTCTCCAAGACATTGCCTGCAAATTCGTACATTAATGGTCTACTTCACAATGGTTTGAGAACAAATGTAAAATGTTACCTCTTGTTCTTCAGTGGAGCCAGCTTTGCCAGGACAGCTTGATCTATCGCAGACTTCTGCTCACCTCCCACCAGCACACAATCATTTACGAGATCAGCTGCAACCATGGCTGAAAGAACCACGAGATAAACACACCAGCGAACGGTACCCATCCTGTAAACAGTAAGAGAAACATGAAACAATATAGCAATATAGAACCGACTATATACACACACACACATATATATATATATATATACATATATAAACATACACATATACACACACACACAGTTTCCCCCCATCCCCCATATTTTCACACACAAAAAAATGAAGAAAATAAGGATTTCCCTTTGCAATTTCTGCCTTTGCTGTTATACTACACTGGGTGTTTGCCAAGCCAGGAACTGGCTCATGCAACACAGAAACCACGTGTATTTTTTATGAAGGTTGAAGTTATTCAGCTATTTCATCAACCTCTGCTCATCACCTGGGATAATTTTTTTTTTTTTTATTATCTTTTTATTATCAGATTTTCCACCATAAATACATTTTACAAAAGAATAATTAAAATACATTCATCCACATAAAAACAGACAAAAAAACTATCCACCACCCCACGAGAGTTCTACAGACTTCCAACTTTTTCAAATGACATTCCTTTTACAATTGTAATAATTGTTTTTCCCAATACCTGGGATAATTTTAATTTATCATATATGAATGGCAGCAGCTGTGCTTTTTAATAACAGCCCCATTTACAGAACTGAATTAAGCAGTAAATACTGCTGTGGCTCGGTCTCCTTCACAGTAAGCAGTGTTAAAGTCTATTAGAGGTAGAGCTTCACACACACTCTGATTGTCTGGGAAGGCACAAGCTTTCCTCTGTTATGTCTCTCAGACAGATGGTTGGCTTATAAATTGTGGCTATTTTTGAAAATGTTCTCTTCAGAGCTGACTGAGCAAATCGTCCTTTATTCTCTGTATATAGCCTGGTGTCAGCATTTGCCAAAATTTTACACTAAGAAATATAGTTACAAGCTATAGACAATCTGCTAGAAATATACTCCAGGAGGTCCCATGTTTTTGCCTGAAAGTTCAGTAGGCTGATCCATTGGTCAGTATGTGGAGACTGAAAAGGGGAAGAAACCGACTATGACACTGCAGCAGAACTATTAATGATTTACGTATAAATTGAGGACTGTATGGAGGGTAGAAATATATGCACACAATACAAAACCAGAAAAACAATTTGTAGCAAAGCTTTACATACAGTTTTATTGGATGAAAACAGAATCACGTAGATAGTTGAATAGTTATAAGTTCGGCCTTTCTCCGCACACATGGGTTACAGTTGTTGAGTCACATTAAAGCTTTAATGAACATGCTTACAACGTAGGAAAATAGATCCCTGTTAAAAAGGAAGTATCACATTGCACAATAAAAGCATATTTTAAACGGGTTTAAATGCAATTTTGGACATAACATATTTTTGCACAATGTGATTGTTCCCTTTTAAAAAGGGTTTATTTCTTACTTTATAAAACATATTAAAGTTGTAACTTAACTTGTTCTGCTTATCTCCCTACTTTTGGTTTTTCCCTTAGATTTGCTCTTCATGTAGAACCACTATTTGAACCCCCAAATGACAGAGCCATATTACCTGTGCAGTATCCTCTGTATGCCACTGGAAAACGATGCTCCTATTTGCTCACGTGCAGTTATGTTTCGTGATCCCTAACTTGTAAACCTTTCTGAAACTTACTTTAACCTGCACTGCCCTATCTCTGTAGCAAAACACTATCCAAACCTCACCAAACCAGTTACCCTGCTAGTAGATAACGAAATACCCTTTACTTCCTTAATTGAGACCTGAAACAGTCAACAACTATAAAACTAGACTTCCAATGTAGACTATATTGCTCAGTTCTTACAAGAATATAATATACTGAAGCAATAATACTAGAATATAACTTATTGCTCAACCAAGAAAATTTTTGGTACGTTATTTCACAATGAGAAGATGTGGCATACAATCCTAACTCTAAAAAAAATTATTTATTTTTATTTCAAATGCATTCTCACCCTGCCCCTGAGTTCCTCTGGTACATGTATTTTCTTGTAACGACACGTGTCATGTACAATAACTCTCCCAGGACCCACAACTACACAATAACCTGGTCACCTCTCTTAGCCCCCAAACTCTATAATAACTCTAGGTACACTGTCCCTGTACCCCTATCTCTACAATAACTCTGGGTCCCTCTCCTCCCTCTGCACCCCTAACTCTATAATAACTCTGGGGTCCCTCTCCCTGCACCCCCTAACTCTATAATAACTCTGGGGTCCCTCTCCCTGCACCCCCTAGCTCTATAATAACTCTGGGGTCCCTCTCCCTGCACCCCCTAACTCTATAATAACTCTGGGGTCCCTCTCCCTGGTCCCCTAACTCTATAATAACTCTGGGGTCCCTCCCCTGCACCCCTAACTCTATAATAACTCTGGGGTCCCTCTCCCTGCACCCCTAACTCTATAATAACTCTGGGGTCCCTCTACCTGCACCCCTAACTCTATAATAACTCTGGGGTCCCTCTCCCTGCTCCCCTAACTCTATAATAACTCTGGGGTCCCTCTCCCTGCTCCCCTAACTCTATAATAACTCTGGGGTCCCTCTCCCTGCTCCCCTAACTCTATAATAACTCTGGGGTCCCTCTCCCTGCTCCCCTAACTCTATAATAACTCTGGGGTCCCCCTCCCTCACCCCCTAACTCTATAGCCAACTCTGGGGTCCCTCTCCTGCTCCCCTAACTCTATAGCTAACTCTGGGGGTCCCTCTCTGCTCTAACTCTATATAGCCAACTCTGGGGTCCCTCTCCTACTCCCCTAACTCCTATAATAACTCCTGTGGGGTCCACTCGCCGCGCTCCACAACTCTATATAATAACTCTGGGGTCCCTCTCACACCTGCTCGCCGCCTCTATAAGCCAACTCTGGGGTCCCTCTCCCCTGCTCCCCTAACTCTCTATATGACCAACTCTGGGGTCCTCCTGCACCCCTAATACTCTATAATGCCTCTGGGATCCCTCTCCCTGCACGCCCCTAACTCTATAGTAACTCTGGGGTCCTCTCCTGCACCCCAACTCTGTAATAGCTCTGGGGTCCCTCTTTCCTGCACCCCTAACTGTGTAATAGCTTTGGGGTCCCTCTCCCTGCTCCCCTAACTCTATAATAACTCTGGGGTCCCTCTCCCTGCTCCCCTAACTCTATAATAACTCTGGGGTCCCTCTCCCTGCTCCCCTAACTCTATAATAACTCTGGGATCCCTCTCCCTGCTCCCCTAACTCTATAATAACTCTGGGATCCCTCTCCCTGCTCCCCTAACTCTATAATAACTCTGGGGTCCCTCTCCCTGCACCCCTAACTCTATAATAACTCTGGGATCCCTCTCCCCGCTCCCCTAACTCTATAATAACTCTGGGGTCCCTCCCCTGCACCCTAACTTCACCTACCCCTGTGAATGTGCTTCAGTGGGACCGGAAGCCGGAAGTGAAGCCGCATGACAAGGCAGGCGAGCAGACTCCGCCAATCAGCGCCGAGGAAATTCTTGCCCTCATCATGTAGCCACGCCCCCTCCTGGCGAAACTCAACCAGCCAGCTTCCGGGAAACGCTCTAACGCCGCGTTAACCACACCCCCACGTCACTTCAGCCACTCAGTTGCCGGCGTACTCATGTCTATCATGCAGTGACAACGCCCACTAAAGGCTCCCCAACTGTCACAAGACGGTGGTCATGAGAGTACCACGTGATAAAACGGATGTGGCGGGGAATGACGGGAAATGTAGTTTTATGCAGAACTGATACTTGTGTGGTAACGTTCTGATTGAGCAAGAGGTTGAAGATGACACGTGATAGCCATGTGATCACGTGATGCTCAGGCTTATTTTACATTTATAGCAAATCCCAGGTCAGCTCAGGCAGGCTCAGGGTCAGCATTGCAAATAAAGACATATTAACATTAAACCTTACAAATATGACATTATTAAAATAATACGTATGAAAACGGCCACGCCTGCGCCAGTTTGGGCACGCGCTTCATTTACGGTGATTTATTGGAGACTCGTCTGCCTTTTTTTTTAGTAATAAATCCATCGACAATATTTATCCCTTTTCCACATTAAAGGACCACTCTAGACTTAATGAAGTGGTCTGGGTGCCAGGTCCAGCTAGGGTTAACCCATTTTTTTATAAACATTGCAGTTTCAGAGACACTGCTATGTTTACACTGAGGGTTAATCCAGCCTCTAGCGGCTGTCTCAATGACAGCCGCTAGAGGCGCTTCCGTGCTTCTCACTGTGAAAATCACAGTGAGAGCATGCAAGCGTCCATTGTAAATGCTTTCCTATGAGACTGGCTGAATGCGCGCGCAGCTCCTGCTGCGCATGCGCATTCAGCTGGAGAGGAGGAGGAGGAGAGCTCCCCGCCCGGTGCTGGAGAAAGAGTTAGGTTTAACCCCTTCCTCTCCTCAGGGCACTATAGTGCCAGGAAAACGAGTAGTGGTCCTTTAATGCTTCATCCAACTGTCACCTCAGAACTATTGTAGCACAGTTATATATAATTTGGGACATTAGATAATGTTTTTTTTAAATGTATAGGTAAAGAAATGAGATAATAAATCGCACATTTAGTAAATAACAGGAGCCTTCAGCCATACACACCAACCTTGGATCGGACAATGTTTAAATGTGACAGTCTCTATGGTTTTTCCTCCTTAATTCTCTCCACAGAAACAGGGAAAATGTTTTCAAACACACGCGCACAGTCGGATTTCCCGGCATATGCGCTAACCTTACCCAAACCCCCATTAAAACACGGACACAGGTTATACTGTTGGAAATAATTAGTCCACAGCTTTATTAAATTATTAATGAAATAATTAAGGAATAACAAATGGGGTCATTGCCAACAAATCTTAATAACATTAACATCCCCCATATACATAACATACCCCTAGCAATGACCCCACAATAATAACAATCTAAATAACATGTTAATACAGAAACTGGCCACCCAATATGACCACATTTCCACCCGGTTAAATTGTAGGGGTGTACCGAGACACCGCTACCCACCATCTCCATTGTAGGAGTGTACCAAGACACCGCTACCCACCATATCGATTGTAGGGGTGTAACACGTGCAACACTGCCCAATCCACACTAAACATCAGGATGCCCACTTTCTCCTCCATCTACCCTCCGATTTAACCAGGCCATTCCCCGCCGCTGTGAAAAAACGGGAAATCAACTAACCTAACCAAATACAGGGAGGGTGGGAGGGACAACTGACAGGTAAGCTTAGGTTCAGTTAAAATGGCCACTTCATATAATGGCCGGTATAAATACTCCCCTTATGGCTCCGTCCTACCCAGCATGCTAGCTGTCACTAACTCCCTGTGGCTGCTATGCCTACCTCCTGGCTCTGTCAAGGCCTATTCCTCTTAGCTGCGCTGATCCATGGGCTACAGTCTGATCCAAGGCGTATATGGCTGAAGGATCCCAACAAATGTTTCATTTTAAAAACAAATATTTTTACTTTCAAAACTTGATGAAAGGATTATTACATTAACCCCTTAAGGACGGAGCCAAATGTACACATTGTGAACGAAACAAAATGTAAACAAAACCTGGCATTTGCACTACATGTCTGTCCAACTGTAATTCACCTCTTTCATATTAAATGCACCCACCCTTATTATATATCATTTTATTCAGGGGAAACAGGGCTTTCATTTAATATCAAATATTTAGCTATGAAACATAATTTAATATGAAAAAAATGGGAGAAAATAAGATTTTTTAAAAAAAATTTTTTAGTTCTACATGACATTTTAACTGTCAATGTCATAATACTGTTTGCTTTTACTGCAATAAAATACACATATTTGTATTCAGCAAAGTCTCCCGTGTAAAACAGTACCCCCTATGTACAGGTTTTATGGCGTTTTGGGAAGTTACAGGGTCAAATATAGCACGTTACATTTGAAATTGAAATTCGCCAGATTGGTTACGTTGCCTTTGGGACTTTATAGTAGCCCAAGAATTAAATTTACACCCATAATGGCATACCATTTGCAATAGTAGACAACCCAAGGTATTGCAAATTGGGTATGTCCAATCTTTTTTAGTAGCCATTTGGTCACAAACACTGGCCTAAGTTAGAGTTAGTATTTGTGTTTGAAAAATGCAAAAAACGCAAATTTTGGCCAGTGTTTGTGACTAAGTGGCTACTAAAAAAGACTGGACATGCCCCGTTTGCAATATCTTGGGTTGTCTACTATTGCAAATGGTATGCCATCATAGGGGTAATTTTCATTCTTGGGCTACCATAGGGTCTCAAAGGCAACGTAACCAATCGAATTTTAATGTGAAAAAAATGAAACACAAGCCTTATATTTGACGCTGTAACTTTTGAAAACACCTTACCTTTGCCTGGGAGGTGGCCATTTCCTGCAATCCCTAATGGTCCGGTGGGGAAGGCCTGGTGGTCCCCATGGTGAGAGTGAACTCAGAAGCTGTTAGATTTCACTCTAGAGATATTCGGAGCATTGCTGTGGTAATCGCAGCAATGCTCCGAGCTCGCGAGAGGAGAACCCGGCGGAGCTGCAGGTTAGAGCTCCCCCGGGTCCTCTCTCTCTCCCCTGCCAGCTGCCAGCATTACACTGCGAGCGGGCTAGAGAGGGAGATCTCTGATCTCCCCTTCGGTCCCGTAACTTTTTTTTCTTTGTTTTTTAATATATCGAGTGGGTTTTGTGTAAAACATGCAAGTTTTCACTCTTACTCTTATTTGCGTCTTATATCAGTGGACCCTCAGGAAGTCTGCATTGGAGGAGCAAACGCGTTGCACTTGTCTATTAATGTTAGGTGATATTTCTTGATTTTCTTGCACTTGTAATTGCTGGAAATATATTTTACCATCTATGCTGGAGTTTTGGCTGCAGTCTTTTTGTAGAGTGTACACTGCAAGTAAATGGTTTGGCCCCTAATACTATCAGGGGAGGCACCCTGGATATCTTTCGATTGCCTCCATGTGTGAGGGCAATTTGATCTGCGGAGAGTGGGGCTCATCTGCTTAACTGTGCTATACAACTGTGATTTTTCTATTTTTACAGAATTTAGAAAGTTTCCATATTATTTTGTGTCTATATATTTATGTGAAAAAAGTGTCTGTTCTAAAAAGAGCCAGTGTGACCAAAGAAATGTGCTACTGTATCCACTGGGTTCCATAGTGACTCGCTCACTTTTACTATGTTAGACTACCTTTCACAAACGACACTATTTATATATAACCCCTTTAGTGTTAAATCCTTCTGGAATTTTTTTTTTCCATTTAGTTTTCTAATCAGCTCTCAGGCCAAGAATTTACACATGAGCATACAAAAGCATCATTTAAACAATGGAGAGGATCTGTTATCTGGTCCTAAAAATCCGAATGTAATCTGGAGTGTTTGCTTCCTAAACACTGGACAATGGCCATCTGAGCAATTTAAAACCTTACAAGGATTTCCAAAGTTATATTAGAACTAACAGACATTGCGCTGTACTCTCTGTGAACACAAGGATTTTAGACAGGTACACCTCGATTAATTTAGGATTGAGACTTGAAACTTTTGAACTCTTAAAAAAGGAACTTTGCCAAATTAACTTGCAAAAAGATTAACGCATTAAGTATCTGCCTTAATTAGAATCACAGTATATCGGTTAATGAGAGATATCAGCTATGCCTCACTGATGATGCCTAACAAGGCTGAAACGATCGTCTAGGGTTGCTGTGTCTCTCGTGCAGAGAGAACTTGCTGGCATTTTGGATCTGGACTGCCCGTATGGGTGGGACCAGTCTGATATGCTTCAGATATGTTCTCTCTGTAATGGCACAAGATGAGCTAAAACCAGCTTGAGTTCTGAGCGGGGCCCCACCTAAGGGCAGGCTATTTCAGCTGCTGTCCGTTCTCAGAATACTCTTGAGACTCGTTTTTTACACACCTAGTCTAATAATTTATTAATAAGTCTATTAAATCAATATACTTTATAAGACACAACCTTATCAATGTTATTAGCCAGATTGGTGTACACAGTATTAAAGGTGTCAGGATAATTACCTTTATATGTTTCACCTAGTTATGGAAAATTAATCTGTCAACGGACACTCAATCTCTCTCGCTATATACCTACACATCTCTTTTTATGTGAATATATATGTAGATAAATTAACCAGTAAAAATAAAATAATAAACAGAGTTCTATTTTCACTTTTGGTCTACCACCAAACCAAAGGGGCTTAGGCTTTAGTAGTACACAAAAAAAAGTGAGAAATGCTTTTCAGCCGCTTCTAATCTTAAGCATCATTTGAGGAGCCATACAGGAGAGAAACCTTATTTGTGGTGTGTTTAGTATTGTTCTGATCAGTTTAATACCTTCCGCGTCTCCTATCAGTGGACGTGTATATGGCAGCCATTTTAGGAACCGTACACCTGGGACCCGAGCAAGATCACCTCGTTCAACAGGCGACAACATTTGTCCCTGGAAAACTATCCTGGACATTCTGTACAATTTGTATGGATATGGCAGTGA